CTTTGATAAATCATCGAATAAGTCAAAAATTGATTCTAAAGTCACTGTGATTTGTAACATACCATTGCAAATTTTGAATTAAACCTTCGTGAATCTTGTTGATACATTGTGTCTTGTGATTATTTCGTGATTATTTGTGTAGTCTTTGCCAGATGTGGTTGAGTAGATGTTGTTGTTGAGACCAATTTTCAAAACGGAGTGGTATTCGATCGTCAAAAGTTCCGGGTGGTAGGTTGCTGAAAGGACGTTGAATTATAAAATGATTAGGGGTGAGCGGTTCCTCATTGTCTGTGTTATCGGCAACGTTTGTTAGAGGTCTTGAATTTAACATTGTTTCTGTTTCCGTGAGAATGGTATTGAAAAAATCAAGCGTAAGCTTCTTAGAGCCAAGAATAATCAGAATTGTGCGTTTAGCGATTTGGATTAATCGCTCCCAGGCCCCGCCAAAATGAGGACCATAAGGCGGATTGAATTTCCATTCAATTTCTTTGACTGCTAGCTTGGTTTCAATTTTGTTCTTATCTAGTTCTTTGAGGCACTTCTTTAGCTCATTACCAGCTCCTACAAAAGTCTTTCCATTGTCACTGTAAATTGTTTTAGGGCTCCCTCTTCTGGCTGTAAACCGGGCAAGTGCATCAAGGAAGGTATCAGTTTTCAAATCTGGGCAAGACTCCAAATGGGCTGCTCTAGTTGTCAGGCGGTTAAAGATGATAGCGTAGTGTTTCTCTGTTTTCTTTCGGTTTTGAATGAAGATTGGCCCGAAGAAATCTACTCCTGTGCTGATGAAAGGGTAGTGAGTGTTCTCCTGTGGAAATCTTGAGCTTGGTAGGGGTGCCATTTTTGGCTGGAGGTTTTGTGCATCGAACCGTCTGCATATGAAACATTTAAAACGTACACTGCGTAGAGCCAGTCGTACACCAATAATGTAGTAGCGTTGCTGTATGAAGGATTTGACAAACTCTGATCCTTGATGTACACAAATATGGTGTGCGTGTTCAATGTACAATTTTGTTATTGCATTTTTCGCATCCAAAATTATCGGAAACCTTGCATCTTCTTTCAAACAAGATGCAAACTCAAGACGACCTCGAGCTCTTAGAACTGTCTTTTGATCCAAAAAGGGATTCAATTGAACCAATTTGTCTTTATTGTCAATTTTGCTTTTGCTTTCTAATTTTTTGATAGTATTAGAAAATGACTGAGCCTGACAAATTTTGATTGCGTATAGCTTGGTTTTTTCAACATCTGAGATGTTGCATAAAATTTGTTCATTTTCATCACTGGAGGATGGGTTTTGATTGGTTTTTCTGTTAAGAATCCTAATTTGTGGTCTGGAAATGAAACTCATGACTGTGGTAAGAGTTAAAATTAGCTTGTTCCAGGTAGAAAATCGTCTAATGTCAAAAATTGGCTCATTTAGAGACAATTTTTTATGCTTGGTCTGTCTTTGAAAACCCGCAGCAACCACAATTGTTGCAAGCAAAGTATTATCGTGCCAAAGATACTTAGGTTGTTTCAAGAAGGATGGAGGTGTAAGCCATTTCTCATTTATTTCCCTGGGTTCAAGACCTCGATTACCGTGATCTGCAGGATTCAGAGTAGTTGCAATGTGATGCCATTGTAGTTGATGATCCATTGTTGAAATTGCAGTCAGTCGATTTGCCACAAATGTTTTTTGCTGTTTGGTTGATTTATCCAATCAAGTACTACCTGACTGTCTGTCCAGACATGTAAAACAGCTGTTCTGCTGAGATGAAGTTCTTTGGACGCAAATGACAAAAGACATGCTCCAATTGTTGCAACTTCTAATTCAAGTTTTGGTACACTCAGTTGTTTAATAGGCGCAACCTTGCTTTTGCCAATCAAAAACTTACATTCAATGACGGTTTCGTCTAAATTATGCATTCGCAAGAACAGGACTGCGACCATACCGATGAGAGAAGCGTCAGTAAATGCGTGTATTTCCAAACTCCACAATTTATTGCTTTGATTTGGAAACAAAACTCTTGGCAATGTTATTCTTTCCATCCTGAGAAAAGAATCCAGGATTTTCTGTAGCTTGTGTTGATAGTCACTAGGTATCTGGTTATCCCTTTTCAAACCTAGCCTGCGAATCTGCTGCAGTAGAGCCTTCAAACGAATTGTTCCTGTTGCTATAATTCCTAGAGGGTCAAACATAGACGACAATAAGCTGAAGAGTTTCCGTTGAGTATAATTATCAGCCAGAGTAGGAAAGTTTTGAAGGGGATCAACAAAAAACTCATCACTGTCAATTTTCCAGTTTTGTCCAAGAACACGAGTTGAAGTTTTATCTCGTCGTGGTCTTCGCAAGGAATATGTTGCAGGGCGAGCTTGTTATTAGATAAGAACTTGGTGAGTTGAAAACCACCTTGTTTTAAAGACTCCCTGGTTTCTCTTGAAACGCATTGTGCTTCACCTAACGTCGGTACTGAGGCAATGTATAAAAACTGTTTAGAATTGCATCATAAGCCAGAGGAAACGAGTTTTTGTTGTCCAAAGCGCATTTTTGTAATGCATAAATAGCGCAGAATGGGGAACATGTGGCTCCAAATATTCACCGCGTGTATTCATACTGATGAACTTTTCCGTTATAGCTCCAGAGAAAACACAAGGCTGGCCTATCTTCTTCACGAATACTTACTTGCATAAACATCCCTTCAATATCGGCAAGAAGACCAATAGAATGTTTGCGGAAGCGCAGCAGAATCCCTCCCAGGTTTGCAAGTAGATCTGGACCTGTAAGGAGATTGTTGTTAAGTGATTGGCCTTTAAAAAGAGATGCGGCGTTGGCTACTCTTCTGATTTTTGTTGGTTTATTTGGGTGATGTGGTAGATACCAAATTCGCGAGGGTTTTATTTTTTTCATTTCTACAGGTCGCACGTGTTTCTTTTCGAGGTCATTTACGAGGGTTGCTTCGTATAAATTTCGTAGATCGTTGTTTTTAGCAAGGCGGCGATCAAGTGATTTTAGTTGATTACGGGCTAGGTAGTAGTTGTTCTGCAATTAAGTCTCATTCTTCCACAGTAAACCAATTTCATACCTTTCTCCCGTGTGATGTATTGTGTTTTCAAGGATCCGAATTGCCGCCCTATTGTTTTCGGTATAAAACTCCTTTTCTGTTGTTTTTTGTCCGGTTTCTTCAATTTTCCAGAATTGCTGAACTAAGTAGTCCAATGGTTGCTCAACAGATTCATTTGACTTTCTTGTAACGTGGAAAACAAATCCCGAAGTTTGTCTGTTGCGCACTTTATTCAACCGTGTGGATTCCGTGTGGTCGGCAATCATTTCCTTCAATTACTTGAATGGGGTACGTATAAGAGAACGTATTAACGCCAAGTAGCGCTCCAATTCTTCCGCCAGCAATATTGGGAAATTTTATGTGTCTAAAACCTTTGAAACCCTGACAGATTTCATTCAGATGAGCAACATCTGCAGGAGGTATATTTAAAAATGGCGTTTTATAAACATTACGAATTGGAAACGTTTGTCCCGTTTGTTTGTACGGTGCTAAATTAACGATGTTGTCTAGTTTTGCAACCGGCATCTCATGGTTGATATTTATATATTGTAAAGACATGTTTGCTGTTTCTGATGATGAGATTTCCAAGAAGTCTGCAATTTGATCAAGCATAAAAGTAAATTGGCTGCCAGGGTCAATGAGAGCGTAAGTGTCACACACTTTACCATTATTGACGAACGACTCAGGGATCAGCTGTAATTGTTCGAACCAAATGTTGAGTAACCGTTCAAATGTAGCTTTTTCTGAAGCAGTAAACCCTCCCTTTTTCTTAAAATGAATTTCACTGTCCGCTTGTTTTTGTTGATGGTATTTGTTTTTGTCAATGCTATGCGACTGGCCGTATCTGCTAGAGGTTTGGTTGTAAACTCCTTATCATCTTCGTTTTTTCCTGAGACGATTGCTGCTTATGATGCACTGTTTTTGCTTGTAAATCGAGATGGATCATGAAGTGAAGTATGATGGAACCCTCTACATTGCTGACATCGTCTCTCTGAATTGCAATTGTTTCTTGAATGACGAGAACTTAAGCAATTTATGCAGAGCTCATATCGTTTTAGCAAATTATTTTTTTCAAGTGGTGCTAAGCTCTGGTAGCGGGGGCAATGAGCCAAAAAATGTTCTTGCGAACAAATGAAGCATTTTTTGGAAGGATATTGGAATTTGGTTGTCGTATTGATGTCAGACCCCATTTTAGCGTTTTGCTTATCCAAAAGACGTTTGATTTTGTGTCTTAAGTTCCTGATCTTTGACCGCTGACGTCCCCAGAAACGAGTGCTCCCCTTGTAATCTTTCCAATACTTTAGCTTGTATTTCAAGCCACTCCTG